TCCCTAAGACAGAATGAACTGGATCCTGGGGGAAAGGGGACAGGGAAGAAAGAAAAGCATTCCATATATATGACATGGAACTTTTATTCAGAATATATTAAAAGCAATTAGAAGTCCATAATTGTAAAACAATATAATAAAAATGAGCAAAAGTTTGGACAGACACTGCAAAAGAAGATATCCACATGGCCAATATGCACATGAAAACATACCTGTCATCATTAGTCATAAGGGAAATGCATAAATTAAAACCACAATGAGATAATACCAACACACCTCTAGAATGTCTGTAATGAAGACTGACCACACCAACCCTTGGTGAGGATGCAGAACAACCAAAATGCTCATACGTTGCTGGTGGGAATGAAACACGAAGGACATTTTGGCAGTTTCTTAGGAACTTAAATATACACTTCTCATATGGCCCAGCAATTTCACTCCTACATGTCTAAATGAAAAGAACTGAAAACATATGTCTGTATAAAGATTTACACACACAAATTTGCTTAGTAGCATTATGCATATGGCCGAACACTGGAAGCAACACAAAAGCTCATCATTGGGTAAATGGATAAACAAAATGGGTTTAACCATAAAATGGAATACTCTCTGTCCATAAAAGGTAACAAACTACCAGTATCTCAGCAGCATTGATGAATCTCAAAAACACAGTGCTGGGGCGCCTGGGTGGCTCAGTGGTTGGGGCCTCTGCCTTCGGCTCGGGTCGTGATCCCGGGGTCCTGGGATCGAGTCCCGCATCCGGCTCTCCGCTCGGCGGGGAGCCAGCCTCCTCCTCCTCTCTCTCTCTGCCTGCATCTCTGCCTACTTGTGATCTGTCTGTCAAATAAATTAAAAAAAAAAAAATCTTAAAAAAAAAAAAATAACACAGTGCTGAGCCAAAGAAGCTAGGCACAAAAGAGGACATACTATATGAGTCCATTTGAATGAAACTCTAGAAAGGACAAATCTAACCTGAAGTGATTGAAGGCAGATCAGCAGCTGCCTGGGCTGGGAGTGTACAGGGGTGGTTGACTGGGAAGAACAAGAGAACCTATAGGGATGATGGAAATATTCTGCATCTTGGTTGTGGTGGTGTTTTCAGAGATAAACGTTTATAAAAACTCATGTTTTGTTCTTAAAATAGGTGAATTTTATTTTGTGTTAATTATATCTCATTAAAGTCAATTAACTATTAATTTTATTAAGTCTCTTCTGAATCCTCCTTACAGAAAAATCACAAATAACATATGTAGATACTCTTCCCTCCAGAAGATGAAGCCTAAATCCCACCACCACCTCCAAGAGAATAAGTGGAAGTTAGTGACTTATTTTCAAAGAGTATAGAATATGAAAAGGAAAAAATAACAACTTTATAGTGTAGAAACCTGACAAATTCTACCTTAACCAGGTGATCAAGGTTAACATTCCCAGTGATACCAGGTACATTGTCAGGTTCCCCCTCATATGCTGTGAAGAGAGGCACATCACCTTTGTGATATTCTTTCAAAAATCCTTGAACCCTAGTCTAATCTAATCAGGCAAGCCCCAACTACAAGATACCCATTGAAACTGTACCCCTCAAAACTGCCAAGGTCATAAAAAATGAGGAAATGATGAGAAACTGTCACAGATCAGAGGACACTAAGGAGATTATGACAAAAAAATACATTATTATATCCTGTGCTGGATTCTGGAACAGCTAATGGATTAATGAAAAATTTAATGGTAAAATCCAGGTAAATCCTGGAGTTCAGCTAATAGTAATTATGTTAGTTTTCTGTTACTTCATAATCAATTCAAAAATATATCCCCTCACAGATCTATGGATCGGAAGTCCTGGCACAGTGGGACTAAATCCTACCCTCAGGGGCTTACAAAACTGAAATCAGGGTATCAGCCAGGTCGTGCTCCTTTCTAGAGGCTCTGAGGAAGAATACATTTCTCTTGGGTTGTTGGCTAAATTTATCTGTTGCACTTGTAGGACTGGGTTTCCCATTTATGTACTGGCTGTGAGCTAGAGGTCATTCTAAGTTCCTAAACGCTCTCAGGGTCTTGCCGCATGGGACTCTCCATGTTCCAAGTTAGCAAGAGAATTTGTTCCTGTCAGATCCCTCAGATTTTGCCTCTGACATCCCTGTCTCTGAGCTCTAGACCAAGATTTTAAGGGTTCATATCATTAGACTAGGCACACCCTGATAATTTCCTTTTCCTAAAGTCAACTGGTATGGATTCTTTTTGTATTTATTTTACACATGGGGACATTGCAATAGAGGTTACATGACTTGCTCAAAGTCACACAGTTAATAAATGGTGGAGCTGGGAATCAAATTCAGGTAATCTGTCTCCTGAGTCCTCATTGGTAAGCACCGTCCTGGGGCACATGGGTGGCGTAATCAGTTAAGCATCTAACTCTGGGTTTTGGCTCAGGTTAGGTGGTAATCTCGGGTCGTGATCTCAGGTCATGAGATCAAGCCTGATGTCAGGCTCCCCACTGAGCATGGAGTCTCCTGAAGTTTCTCTCCCAATCCCTCTGCCCGTCCCTGCTCCACGCTGTCTCTCTCAAATAAGTAAATAAATCTTTAAGGATAAAAAAGAAGCATCTTCCCATTTGATCTCCCACAGTCCATGCATCCACAACATCAATCCAGTTCTTCAGACATCCTGCTATTCCCTGGGAAACAGCTTCCAAAGAAGGTAACATAGGCATTCGTTTACATTTGACCCAAATACTTCAGCAAACGTGATCCATCACCATGGAAGCCAAAAGGATATTGTCCTAAACCGCCTTTGCATAAGAGAATATTTGAAACTCTAGTTATCTTTGGTGTCTTTTTCCCTGTGCACAGAGCCCAGAGCTCATTCTGATAAGTTTGTGTTTATCTTTAAACACATTCTTATACTCAGAGTTTGATCAATTGCAATTATGTTTCCAATGGAATCTTACCAACTTACCTATTTTGAAGCAGATGTGAAATATCCAATTCATTCTGAGAACAAGAAACAAAGGATTCGCTTGAAAAAAATTCTTAAGTGGAACTTTTTTTTTTTTTTAAGATTTAACAGATTTTTCTCTTCTTATTTTCCATGTGATAATAGATGGTTTTCTATCTAGGCAAGAATATCAGCCAAAATTTCTATTCTTTTACAATATGTCAGCTGTGCTTTTGGCACTCCCACTATCTGCAGCAGGAGAAAATATTTTTAATCAACTCTCCAAAACAACTAGGACTTCAGGCATCCCCCAAAACATTGGTCCCAACTTCCCTGATATTTTTCAAATTTTTGTGTGAAAAGGTCGTAGATTCCTCAGGATTCTTCAGGTACCAAGTAACAAAACTCAGCTTTTTTTTTTTTCTTTTTTGGTGGAACTGTGAAAACAGAGTGGATCAAGTTATCTCCCCATAGATACATGATAGATAGGTAGGTAGGTGATAGATATCTCTATTTTTCAGATTACTTATTTTCAGTATTGATCTCATCCTCTCCTACTATATAAAGGAGAGCTTCCTACATCATGAGAATACTAGCATTTGACTTGGGCTAATACCTAGATTATCCTTTTCCAGCAAGTCACCCACAAGAGAACTTCTCTCCCCCATCTTTATATGAAGTCCCAGGCCACCTTCCCACCCCTAACACAGACTACTGTGGCTAAAAGGTGAGTTATAATTATTGGCTAAGCCTGGACCATGTTACCTTTCAAGGGCCTTTAGTACCATGGTTACTTGGTACTAATGGTTAGCAACCTTACCCAGATTGGCATCAGAGAGGACTTAATCAGCAGCTCCTCTGCTTTTGCCAAATAGGATGTTGCTCAACTGTGTCACTTGGCTATTCTTTCTCCCCAAGGTCGGCTGCTTGTAGACATGCCCAGCTCCATTGAGGACACTTGTAAAACCAAAAATCTTGAACACTTAGTCAAGGATGTGTGGAGTAGAAGAGGTCCCAGAACTTTAGCTGGTGGGAAAGCACCCATCAAGACCCTGAACCACAACTATCATTAGTGATACCTCTGTCATATCTGTTTCCCTATCAGCACACCCCTACTTGCATTTTGAGCCACTGTACTTCCTAAGGCTTTATTAAGTCATAACTTGGATAAAGCACCTCCTCTTTTTCTGCCTTGCCTTTTTTTTTTTTTTTAAGATTTTTCATTTATCTATTTGACAGAGATCACAAGTAGGCAGAGAGGCAGGTAGAGGGAGGAAGGGAAGAAGGCTCCCTGCTGAGCAGAGAGCCTGATGCGGGGCTCGATCCCAGCACCCTGGGATCATGACCTGAGCCGAAGGCAGAGGCCCTAACCCACTGAGCCACCCAGGCACCCCCTGCCTTGCCTTTTTAAATATACTTTGGTTCATTTAGTGGCCATCAAGTGGTGGTTGGAAGGAGCAGAGCTGGTTTAACCTTCTCATCCTAAGCCTTAGGAATCTGGTATCTGATCCCAAATGCTCAGAGATTTCATGAATATGGATTTCTCAGTTCTTCAACTGATACAGTTCTTCTGCATTAGAAAAAGGATCACTCAACAAAATGCCTATTAACACTCCACCTCCTTTTAAATTCCTTCAAACATCTTATATTCATGCTTCTTTTTATTCTTTATTTTATTTTTAGTAAAAATTATATATATTTAAGGTATACAACATAATTTGATATACAAATTAAGAAAATAATTCCATTCACTATAGCATCAAAAATTGTCTAAATAAATTCCATGAAAAAGGTGTGTACACTTGAATGTATCAAATATTGCTGAAAAGAGAGAAATTACTATATAAATGGAGAGACATTTCATGTTCATGGAGTGGGAAACTCAATATTGAGCAAATTGGTCTGTAAGTTTAATGCCATTCCTTCAAAATCCCAATAGCTTTTTAAATAATTTGATAAGCTGATTCAAATTTTATATGAAAATGCAGAAGACCTAGTATAATCAAAACAATTTTGAAGAGAACAAAGTAATTACACTCTCTGATTTCAAAATATATTAAAAATTGGCGCTGTCATGGCGGATTTGCTGAAGAAGACCACCGGCCTTGTGGGATTGGCTGTATGTGAGAGTCCACATGAGAGTCTAAGAATATTGTACTCAAAGATTCTTGGTGTTCTTGAGCAAATTCCTAAAAATGCAGCATATAGAAACTACACAGAACAGATTACAAATGAGAAGCTGAGTATGGTTAAAGCGGAACCAGATGTTAAGAAATTAGAAGACCAACTTCAGTGCAGCCAACTAGAAGAGGTTATTCTTCAGGCTGAAAATGAACTAAGTCTGGCAAGAAATATGTTACAGTGGAAACCATGGGAGACTTTAGTGGAAGAGCCTCCTGCCAACCAATGGAAATGGCCAATATAATCATCATTAAATGATTAGTGTGTTGATGGGAAATGGATGTAACTAAATGTTCTGTTATATTAAAAATGTTTCTATATTATTGACAACTTATAATCAAGAAAACTAAATATATATATATATATATATATATATATAAAATTGCAGTAATCAAGACATGGTGGTATTGTCATATCAGTAGGCATATAGTTCAATAGAATAAAATTGAGACCCCAGACCTAAAACCTTCTATTTATGGTTAATTGATTTTCATGAAGGTATTGAGACAATTCAGTACAGAAAGAATTGTCTTTTTAATAAAGGATACCATGATAATTACATATCTATAGTCAAAAAAATCATAACTTAGACCCTTACCTCAGCACATACACACACACACACACACAGTGGACCATGGATTTAAATGGAAGAGTGAAAGCTGTGAAACTTCTAGAAGAAAACAGGTGGAAATCTTTGTAAACTTGGATTAGGGAAAGAGTTCTTAAATATATCAAAAGCATTATCCTTCAAAGATAATATTAATATATTAGACTCTACTTGCATTTCAAAAGACACCATTAAACTATGAGATGCTATTTTATAATCAATAGGATAGCTAAAATTTTAGAAACAGGCTATACCAAGTATTGGCAAGGATAAGTAGAAATTGGTACCCTTATACATTGCTATTGGGTTGTAAAATGGTTGCAGCTACTCTGGAAAACAATTTGGCTGGTCCTCAAAATGACAAACATAAAGATACCTTATGACCCAGCAATCCCATTCCTTGGTATATACCTAAAAGAAATGGAAATATATGTCCACACAAAACTTGTATACAAAATGTTCATAGCAGCATTATTCATAATACCCAAAAAAGTAGAAATGATATAAATGTTGATCAGTTGATGAGTGAATAATTCATTCATTCATTCAACTGATTTATTTCAAAATCTGAAATATCCATGTTATAGAATATTGCTCAGCCATAAAAAGAGTGAAGTATTTATTCATGCTCTAACTTGAATGATCCTTGAAAACATTATACCGAGTGAAAGAAGCCAGGTGCAAAAAACTACATATTTTATTATCCCATTTATATGAAATGTCACAGAAAATTTTATAAAGACAGAAAACAAATCAGTAGTTGCCTGGCACTGGGGGTAGGAATAGGCATAAGAAAACTTTTTAGGATGATGTAAGTGTTCCAAAACTGAATGGTGGTGATAGATACACAACTGTAGAAATTTAAGACAAATCACTGATTTATGAATTTACAATTTACGGTAGGTAAATTATAGGTCACTAGAACTGTTAAGTAAGTCAGTAATGGGATCTTGTTAAAAACTGAAAAAATAAAAGTAGACGGACCCACAATAAGGAGCATTGGCAATAGACAGAGAACGTCTCAAACAGCATCATCAAGAAAATACTCTTGGGTGGTGCCCACAGCCCCCTTGCAAAATAATTGTAAGTGGGAAAAAAGGAAAGAAACCACTCTTCTAAAAGTCATTCCAGATATTTACTATCACTTTAAAAAGGAACCAGGTGGTGGGTATTAGAGAGGGCACAGATTGCATGGAGCACTGGGTGTGGTGCAAAAACAATGAATACTGTTACGCTGAAAAGAAATTTTAAAAAAAAGTGACAGGTACAAATAGTGATCAGCTACAATATTTATCTTCTCAAAATCACATTTGTTTCACAATATCAAAATGCTTCCACAACTGACAACAGATAAGATACTCTCCATAGAAGAGAGGGTGAAAATAATGGGAATCCTCTTTGTCTGATACACTGTTTTATTTTGTTCTGGCTTTAAGCTTTAATTTATGTTTTGCTAATGTGCTTCTAAATTCCATGCAGTTGGCCACACTATCTGCTGAGAAAGAAAAGAGTAACACATGAATTGAGTAAATTATTGTTTTATTTGTGTATTATGTCACACGATTAGAACTAGAGCGACTCCCAGAAACATTAGTCCATAGTCTTTACTGAAGAGTCTGTATCTCACCATCCATGCACAAAACTACAAGAGGTTGATTTACTTTCAGAAGAAATCAACCGGAAATTTCTAATGAGCCTTGATTTAACTCACTTGATACACAGCACAAACAGACATTTCACTTTTAAGGACAATTATAAACACAACACACCCTATTATAGTCATTAAATCACTGATTTTTTTATGGTAAGATTGGAATGCAAACAAGTAAAACAATTTATTTTTTTTATCATTTTTAATTTATTTTCAGCATAACAGTATTCATTGTTTTTGTACCACACCCAGTGCTCCATGCAGTCCGTGCCCTCTCTAATACCCACCACCTGGTTCCCCCAACCTCCCACCCCCCCACCTCTTCATACCCTTCAGATTGTTTTTCAGAGTCCATAGTCTCTCGTTGCTCACCTCCCCTTCCAATTTCCCCCAAATGCCTTCTCCTAACTCCCCATGACCTCCATGCTATTTGTTATGCTCCACAAATAAGTGAGACCATATGATAATTGACTCTCTCTGCTTGACTTATTTCACTCAGCATAATCTCTTCCAGTCCCATCCATGTTGCTACAAAAGTTGGGTATTCATCCTTTCTGATGGAGGCATAATACTGCATAGTGTATATGGACCACATCTTCCTTATCCATTCGTCCGTTGAAGGGCATCTTGGTTCTTTCCACAGTTTGGCGACCGTGGCCATTGCTGCTATAAACATTGGGGTACGGATGGCCCTTCTTTTCACTACATCTGTATCTTTGGGGTAAATACCCAGTAGTGCAATTGCAGGGTCATAGGGAAGTTCTATTTTTAATTTCTTGAGGAATCTCCACACTGTTCTCCAAACAGGCTGCACCAACTTGCATTCCCACCAACAGTGTAAGAGGGTTCCCCTTTCTCCACATCCCCTCCAACACATGTTGTTTCCTGTCTTGCTAATTTTGGCCATTCTAACTGGTGTAAGGTGGTATCTCAGTGTGGTTTTAATTTGAATCTCCCTGATGGCTAGTGATGATGAACATTTTTTCATGTGTCTGATAGCCATTTGTATGTCTTCATTGGAGAAGTGCCTGTTCATGTCTTCTGCCCATTTTTTGATATGATTATCTGTTGTGTGTGTTGAGTTTGAGGAGTTCTTTATAGATCCTGGATATCAATCTTTTGTCTGTACTGTCATTTGCAAATATCTTCTCCATTCCGTGGGTTGCCTCTTTGTTTTCTTGACTGTTTCTTTTGCTGTGCAGAAGCTTTTGATTTTGATGAAGTCCCAAAAGTTTATTTTGGCTTTTGTTTCCTTTGCCTTTGGAGACATATCTTGAAAGAAGTTGCTGTGGCTGATATCGAAGAGATTACTGCCTATGTTCTCCTCTAGGATTCTGATGGATTCCTGTCTCACGTTGAGATCTTTTATCCATTTTGAGTTTATCTTTGTGTATGGTGTAAGAGAATGGTCGAGTTTCATTCTTCTACATATAGCTACCCAGTTTTCCCAGCACCATTTATTGAAGAGACTGTCTTTTTTCCACTGTATATTTTTTCCTGTTTTGTTGAAGATTAATTGACCATAGAGTTAAAGCTTTCATACATATTGCCATTTTGCTGTCCCAAATTTTTCCAATGTATAATGCTACTAGAGATGTTTCACAGCAGCAGAACAGCATCTAGTATTATAATAATAGAGTGTCTATCATTTATTGAGTGCTTCCATGTACTGGACCCATTCTAAGTGATATCTTAGTCTAAGTTTAAATCAAAAAACTAAATCAAGAGGTTCAAGGTTAAAGGTCTTATGGATTTGGGATGATGATTATGTGTTGATGTAGGTTCATCCGGTTTAAAAGAAATTACCATTCTGATAAGTGATGTTGATGATGAGGGAAGCTATGTATGTGTAGGGCCAGGGGATACGTGGGAAATCTCTGTACCTTTCTCTCGACTTTGCTGTAAACCTAAAACTGCTCCAAAAAAAAAAATAAAATCTTTAAAAAGAAATTAATGGCCCAAGACAGAAATTCAGGAGGTCTAATAGCCTGCTGAACAGGATGCAAACTTTGCTGTATGTGCAAATGCAATTTTTCTAGGAAAAGGGTGCATAGAGATCAACCATTCCTCAGAAAGGTGGCTGATCTTTAGAATTCCCATATGACCTTAACTGTTCATTTTAGCTCATCCCCAAGTATTTTAATTCTGGTTGTTTCCAATAAACCTGATACCATCTAATGCTCCTTTTAGACATCCATGTATAGAGATATTTTCTGCTTGGCACTGCCAGACGCCAGCTCCCTATCAGAAGTCCTGTTTCCAGGCTTACCCAGAAACTAGCTTTGGGATTCAAAGCTTCAGGAAATGAAAGTAAGATTGGGGAGACACAAGGTTTTTACCTTATCCAGACCATCGATGTCATTGGGCAGCAACACAAACATGCTTAAGTCATTGTTTTTATATGGAATCCCCAGGATTTGGGCTTGTAAGTCCTCCAGGAAAGTGAAGCTAAAAGAATGGCACTGTGTCATCATTGGCACAGATTTGCTTGTACTCTGCAACAAAGTAACAGAGCATGCCATGTCAAAAGAGGCATAAGATGACCAAGTTAGCTCAGCAAAATAATTAGCTCAACAGAAAACAATGCTAAAGATCAGAGCCTCAGAGTCGCCTTTGCTATCTACCACATTTGCTCAATATGACTTTAGATTTTACATTCCATGTATAAACACAACACATAAATAAATAAAGGACCATACCTTATTCAGCCAAAATTCCTCCTCCTTGGTATTTTCTTTCTTAAACTCCTTGTCCCATTGCCCTTTAAAATAAACTATGTTCACCAGCACCAGCTTGGTGAAGCTGTTTACAGAACCATCTGGAAACAGGTCCTTGATTTTTTCTGGAAACCAACAACAACAAAAAAATTGGCCCATCTTCAAAACCACAAGTGCTATGCATGGCAGATATGATGCAGATGGACTTGACTCATCATTAAAAACTCAGCCAGGTCAGCACCTGAAGGCCTTGCCGACAACAGGTTTGCTGGCAGAATCGTAGGGAGGTTCTCACTTTGCCCATCTCCTATTTATCCCATTGGATAAATTGAGGT